TTGACTTCAGAATTTTACTATAGGTGGGATCAAGTCTTGGTTACTTATTGACATGTTATAACAGTTAGCTATTGAACTCCCTATGCTTTTACCACCATTTGGTCCAACATCTCTGACCTAAGTATTTCAAAAGACAAGTTGGCAATCTTTCCACTAAATGAAAATGAAAGTTTAGGTGTCTAATTTGTATATCTAGGGCTAGAGACTGAACCTGTGATTTCATTGTCACAGAGAGCTCTCAGTTGAGAAAATTCGCTCAATCAAATGGCACCTTCTCTGCAACTTATAGTCTTAGAGAATTCCCCAGAGCCCTGAAAGATTAAGTGATTTGCTTAGGGTTACACATCCAATATTGTCAGTAAGACTTCATAGGCTTTGAGGCCAACTCTTTATCTACCCCACCATGGCTGCCTCTTATTTATAGGCATGAGAGTAGGGTAACCAGTTCACTGGGCCTTTCACTGTGACCTTACTGTTTCATATTATAATATGCTAAGGGATGAACCCTACTCTCATGCCTGAAGGGACTTTTGAAAATTAGTCCCCCCTATTCCCTCTCCCCTTCTTCAAGAGAATATCTAGCTTTTCAACACTTTGGGACTGGGATTCTCTGTTTCCTTCCTCTGTTCTAACTCTCAGTTCTTTGCAGCTCCTCCATGTGTGAAGTAGGCACTTGCAGAAAGTAGTTCCATCTGTCAGTCACGGTTTGTAATCACAGTTTCTAGAGGGCCCAATTTGCATAGGCCATGCTTTGTAAAAATACCAGGAGACTAAGAAGCTTTCAGAATGATGGGAGAGAAAGGAATTGGAGGGGAATGGGAGGGAGAGAAAAAAAGAGAGACAATGAAAAGAGTCCTAAAATAAATGCATTGGATAAAAGAGGTTGGGAAATTAATAGGGGGATCAATCTTGCCTTACTGTGGAGAATTAAATAGGGAGAAAGAAGATGCTGAGGGTTAGAGAAGGGTTGGAGGAATGGACAAAGGAGAAAGAGGAAAAATAAGCATCTATATTTTTAACTCTTTTATTACAGCTCTTTCCATCTCTTCTTTCCTTGTTCTCTTTGCTGTCCTCACCAAACCAGTGTGCTTGTTACAAAAAAATCTTAAATAAAGGACAACTTAAAATCTAACCGGGCCTTCAGGAGGTGACTAAAGTAGAGTTTCTGTAGAGAGAACAAAGAAGTTCCATATCCTCCTTGATACCCTCCAAAAATATATACCCACCACCTAGTATTACTACTGTAGTACAAAATACTACTCCAGTGGATACTAATTGAATTTCCAAGGCATTTTTCCAGAAGAAAAAATGTTTCAAGATGAGTGTGCCTAGTAGTTGTGTGTTATGTTTCAATTTCTCTAGTAATTATTACTGTATTCAGTTGAATAGCATGTCAAACAGATGTTCCTTGGTTCAAGAAATGAAAATTACCAGGCCTGGCAGATATCTTGAATAACTGAGTAGGTACTTCCCCCATCACAAATATATCAAATTACACTTCTGAGATTTCCAAATATTGCTAGCTTGACCTCTTATCCAAGCTGTGTCCAAATAGTCCTTTCCTTGACCCTCAATATTTCTCCTCCCTCTCCTTCTATCCCCAAATCTCAAGTTTCGTATGCTGTTTTCTTCTCCAGGCTAATCCATCAAGCATCATTGTAGTCAACTCGATTGCTTCCATCTGCAATATTAAATAGCCTTGCTTCTATTAGCCCTTGAGACATGGATAGGACCATGATTTCAGAAATGTTGTCCTCAAGAAATTGATCCTAACAAGTGCAGCTGGTCCTTTCATTTTATTTCCCATTCACCCACAGTAACTGAAGCAGAATTTTCCCCAAACATCTAAGGGGCAGCCCAGGAAACAGGGAAGATGCTAAAATCTTTTAGGCCCAAATCTCCTCACAAAACTCAAAAGTAGTTAATTCCAGAACTCATACAGGAGGACAGATATCCTGTCCTACTCTTTATTTGAGCACAGAAATACCATGGGGAGAAAAGTTGAATTCACTTCATGCTATGATCTTTACTGCTATCTTAGTACTAATGTGGTCCACTAGACTGCAAGCAATAAGTATTTGGTGCTAACAGATGGTTCCTGTAATCTCTAGGAAATGTTTTGGGTTGTTGTGTGTATGTATTTTCCCCCAGTGAGTTCATCTCTAAAGGTCAGATAATGAGTCTGTTTTCCTATCTCTGGAGGCTGCAGGCAAGAAGTTGCTGAATGTTCATCTCTCCATTTCACAGAAGTAAAAGAAGTAGAGGGAAGTGAGATGACCTCTATATAGTACATGATGGTTCAACCAGGGAAAATTAGAGATATGTCCTATATAGGCTATCACAAGGAAGATAGCTAGCTAGATAGATAAACAGGTAGACAGATTCCACAAACTTACGGGGACATTCAATTACCAAAAAGATCATACTGCTAATGAAGTGGAATGTTGTAATAATTTAATAAGATAGTAAGTCTTCTGCACTTGAGTTCATTAGGGAATGAGAAGAAGAGTGAGAAAGTAGACTACTAGCCAGGTCTTTTAGCCAATAATCTCAGGAATGTTTGATCCAGGATTTTCTGATTGCAGTAACTGAAAAATTAGTAAAGGAAACTGTTACAGGTGCTTAGCATTTCAGAAGTACTCAGAATAAGTCAGTAGGAAATTTTAAAGTAAATGTTCAAATAATTATTTGGAATATATTATACTCACTTATACATTGATACTATTTATACATTTAAAAAAATTTGTAAACTCTGTCTTAAGTGATATTCAGAGTGGATATTCACCTAGGGGATGTATACTTACTTTATTGACTTGTCCTAGAAAAATCATACGGTAGTCAATTCTAATGTCTTCCATTTCCAGCTGGGGAAATCAGAAGAGGCTTCCTATAGGAGGTGGCATTTAGGCTGAGTTTTAGAGGAACCTAAGAAGTCTAAGAGGAAGAGATGAAGAGGAAGTGCTTTCCAGACATAGGGGACAGCCTATACAAGGGCACAGTAAAAGATGGAATATAGTGTATAATGGCTTTCAATTCCAAACAGAGAAATTTATATTTTATCCTAGAAGGCTGTGTGACCCTGGGCAAGTCACTTAACCTGTTTCCTCAACTATAAAATGGGGATGATACCTCCCAGGGTTGTTGTTAGCATTAGGCAGATGATAGATATAGACCTAGAAAGGACCTCATAGGCCATCTAATCTAGCCCCTTGACTTTATAGACAAGGAAAATGGGGCCCCAGGAGCATGAGTGACTTTTCCAAGGCTGGGGAAGTCTACATCAGAAGCAGGATTTTTAATCCAAATTTTCTGACTCCAGAGCTACTCCTCTTTCTAATGTATTAGTAAAACCATTTGGAAATATCCAATAGGCAGGTGGCAATTAGGCTGGAACTCTGAAAAGAGAGATTTATAGTCTTAGAGACTGTCCTGGGACACGAGGGATTAAAAGACAGGCTCATATAGCCTGTGTGTGTTAGAGGTGGGCCCAGGCCATTCTGACTTTGAGATAGGGTCTCAATCTGCTATGCTAGAGTATAATTAAGCATAGGTGGGAGATGGGGTAAGGATTTTCCAGCTCATTTTGTCCAATTCCTTATTTAACAGATGAGGGAAATGAGGTGAAGCAAGTTTGAATAACTTGTTCAAGGTCTCATCATCAATAGGAAGTAGAATAAATCTTCCCAAAAAGGAGAAAAGGTCTTCTTGCTCTAGTCTAGAACAAGGCTTTGTAAGGATATTTGAATGCTAATTACTCCTTATAGATAGAAATCCACCGATCATGCTAAAGAATGGGGAATCCTTTGGTAAGAAAGAACATACCTGGGCATGACCTCTTTCCTCTTTTGATTGTTTATTCTTCTCATCTGAGTGAGTACATATTGGAATCCGTAGCTTTACCGGTTTTGAGTATTTCCCAAAGTAGATATAAAGTTTATTTTAGAGCTAGAAGGGACCTTAGAAATCACCCAATCCAGCCACCTCTTTTTACAGCTGAGGAAAGGAATGCCCAGAAGAAGAAAGTACCAGGGGTCAGGCAGGTTGCAGAACCAAGACTAAGATCCTGACTTGTAGGCCAGTGCTTTTGCAGTGGTCCTATAAAGTACCTGACCTGTGGTAGAACCTTCTGAATTCATACTGAACTGATCGGCCATAGCTGAACTCACTGTACCCTGACCCCACCATCATGATGTCATTGGTCCTTTGAAAATCAAGGACAAGCAACAAGGGTCACTTTCAAAGAAGGACTGCACAACTATCCAAAAGCTGATTTAAGCTGAAATGAAACTATTACACTGAACGTTATGCTTTGAATGGGACCCATTCGTGTTCTTTTGTTGTATTGCTAACTAAAACTCTTTGAAATTAAATGTTCCCTTTATTATAAAAGAGAAGTTAATAGTATTCTGCTATGCCAAAGGGGTAACAGATGTTTATGATATTTTAGGAAATTATATTAGCAGTGAGATTTTGATATATTTTTGTAATAATAGTGGGCACATGTGTTGCAAAGGGCCCACGTGTGATGAGGGCTGCCCTTCATGCCAGGAGCATGAGGGTATTTTTGTATGGATTGAAAAGAAGCAGAATAGACGTCTCTAGCCTCTTCTCCCCTGACCCTTGTCCGAGGGAGGCTTTCATTACTGTCAGGAAGAGAAGTAGGAGGTTGGAGCCAAAAGTCACTCTGCTTCCCTCAGAGAGAGAGGGTGCCAGGTACTGTTTTTCTAGGTGATATGGTCAGGTTCAACCTAACTTCTGGTTGCTTTGTCATTATAGGAGGAAAGGGGTCCCCAGGCTTTATATCCAAGGTTTGACCTCTTTCCCACCATATACCAATTCCGCAATGAACACACATAGCAAATAGCAAAGAAAACCCCATTTATCCAAATCGGTAGCAAAATAGAAATCAGAGAAGATATACACAGAAAAATACATCAAATATACCAAAAAGGACAGTTATTTCATTACCATTCGGAGTGAGATGTTAGCTCAACCAAGAGAAAGTGTCCTTGATCTCACCCAAGGTGAGACACTCCAAGTCTGTAGTGTAGCAAGCTAGGGACAGGAACATGATAGACGTTGCAGGCTCCTCTCCTGTCTTTCCAAAGTCTTTTTCTTCAGCCACTTAAGGAGAGTTTGGCCTCTTCCATCTTCCCTCTTGAAGCCAGAAACCAGAAGCACCCAAAGCAACAAAGCTTGAAAAAGCCTGAAGAAAGCTGGAGCTCTCCTGCCCTTACCAACTCAGGCCTGTCCCTCGAGCAGGGCAGGACATTCATTGACTGCCAATAAGGAGAGAATCTGCTACCAATGGGCCTGGGGACACGGGTTACATTCCTTTAACTGAATACCTTAAAGGCAAGAATATGCATCAGACTTAGACTGTGAACTGTGTTGAAAGCTTTGTGTCTAACCTGTAATTAAAATTTGTAAGGGCACAGCTTGAGTGTCTTTGAATACACCTAAGAATTTGAGAGTAGAGGGAGGTCCCTGTCAGTGGAATACTAACGTGGATGCTTACATTCTTTCCCATAGAAGAGGGTCAGGTCAAGCTAAAATTTGTGCATTTTGGAGCAGCAAAGTAACATGTGAAACATTTGTGGAGGTCTCAATAATCAAGAGCTGCATCCTACATTTAAACAGAGGCCCAGGGACTAAATAGTGTGCTGTCATTTTCTGACACTCTTCTGTGGTTCCGTAAAGCAAAATGCACTCTTGCCACAGCTGTGGGAAGGAAGAAGGAAGGAAGGAAAGAAGGAAGGATGGATGGATTGGGTAGTGTTATCTCCACTTTACAGTTGAGGAACCTGAAGTGAAGTGACTTGCCCAGGATTGTACAGGTAGCAAGTGTATGAGGCCATATTTGAAATCAGGTTTTCCTGATTCCAGCCGGGGCAGTCTGTTCATCGTTCCATCTAGCTGCTTCCCCTGCTAACTTATGCTTCTCTCTCTCTGTGATTGTTGCAGAATCATGAAATCATGGAATTTTAGAGTTGGAAGGGACCTTAGTGGGGAGAAGTTCCCCTTAAAGGGGGCCTTCAATTCTTCCCTCCCATGCCATCCCCCTCCCCAAATTACTCCCAATATTGGTACCAGGAATTGATTCAGTTCTACCTGTTGTAGGCTCTCAGAAATGTGAGATGTAATGAATTCATCATACTAAGATGTTTTCAGCAATATATGAATAAATTTGAATTATTATCATTTTATGAACAATTCCATTTTCTATACAACTGCATCTCTGGAGCTCTTTCAGTGAAGAAACTTTTGATTCTGCATGAAATACCATCAATAGAGTATGTTAATGAGTCTATTGAAGTATGTTATTGCATTAGCAGAGAAAAGGCATTTTGTATTATTGTTTTGTTTTGTTTTCTAGTAGCAGAGGTTTAAATAACAGAGGCTCCAATATTGAAGAAGCAATGATGAGTGGAAAGAAAAAAAATGATATGGCACAATTTGTTAAATTGTAGATTTATCCCATTATGGTACTAATTTTTTTTTTAGCTTTAGCACTGGAATAAGCTTTTCTAGTAGGAAAGCTAGGTTTTTCAGGCAGCATCCTCTGCTTTTAAACAACTTGGAGACTGATTTAGTCAAGTTTCCTTTGTAGGCCAAACTGTAGATAGTCTGTCTGATGGCCTCACACCCCATTGGGAAACGAAGACTGACAATCAGATGCAAATAGCCCTAGGGGTAAGAAATGAATGTTCAAGCAAATTCAGAAAGCCTGAGGAGAAAAAAAGCCTTAAAATGTGGAAATGTACTATTCTATCATAAGCATGGTAAAATATGTATTACAAAAGTATATGTGATGCATAAGACATTTTTATCCATTAATTATTTGTCTTCACAATTACTTCTTAGACTCTTTTCCAAATTCCTATAATTTTCATGAAAAAGAGAAACAAAACAGAAAACTCCCTATCTAATCATTTATTTCCTTTTCCAAATATAAAAGCAACAAGTTTCATAATTATGGTGGTTCTATGGTTCTGTTATGTACTTCGAAGCAGGAAAATATAACTTGTGACTTGTAGAACTGAAAAGAAACTTACATTTCATCCCTTACTATAAGCCACTGCTATACCTTATGATCAATTAAATAAGTACTTTCGTAAGGGACTACTATGTAGCTATCACTTGAAGGCAATGGACAATATAGGCAAAAAAAAAAAAGGAACTAATCCCTAACCTCAAGGAGCAGATATCCTACTGAAGGCAAAACAACAGTTATACAGATAAATAAATACCAAGTGATTGGTTGGGGAGAACCAAGAGCTAAGGAAGGGAATCACTAAAGGTCTCCGGCAGGAGATGATATTTGGGCTAAACTTTGGTTAGAACTGTGGATTCCAAGAAGTAAAAGTGAAGAGGGAGGACAGCTGTTCATGGGGAACAGCAAATAAGATAGTCTAGTTGGAACATAAAGTTATCCCTTCCACATCATGACTTTCCCCATTGCAGTTTTGATATATTGCAGGTTGGCATAAGAAATTAAATGGGACTTTTGGAGGAGTTTTGCTGAAGCCACAGATGACACAGAAAAGTTTAGAAATTCAGAAATGCATAAAATATATGGATAGTATTGTATAATAACCACATATTTTATCTTTTAATACTAAGAATATACATTATTTCTGTTTTAAAGTTTAAGTATGACCAAATACTTGATCCAAATTTTACAATAAGGTACTGTAAACACCCCATAAGAGAAAAAGAAAAACAAACTTCTTTTCTTGTATGATGGGACGGCCAAAAAATTTTATAAGATTTTCCAGATTGCAGGGGCACTTGCACCCCTAACCCCTGTGATGTGGAAGGGTTATCTGTATTGTGTGGAGAGGTATAATGTGAAGTCAGTCTGGAAAGGTAGATGGGAGCCAGATTGTAAATGGCTTCAACTGACAAGCAGAGGAGTTTGTATTTAATCTAGAAAGAATTGGGACCCACTGAAGTTTCTTAAGTATAACAATGGCATATATGGTCAGATCTATGCTTTGGCAGTATCAGTTTGGCAAGTGTGTGGAGGAGGACCAGAAAGAGAGGAAATGAGAGGCAGGAAGGGAGACCAACAAGGAGGTTACTATCATGTGTTTTCCTGTCATTTCTCTGATACTTTCATGGATATAAAAGTAAGCCTCTCTACTGGACTTTTGCCCAGAACGACCCTTCTTAGCTTTCATGGGAGGTTAGGTCTCTTGCTCAGCAAGTCTTGCTGTATTCTAGACATTACTTCGCTCACTGACCCAAGTGAAGCTTGTATTTGTTACCCCAATCAATATGTCTGTGGGAGTGATGTCAGAACTTTCAGCAGATTTCAATCAAGCTACTTAGCTAAAGTTGGTGAATGACTTTGCAAGTTGTCTTTCATGTAGCCTTGCTTATTTTATTACCAAAAAAAAATGTTATTTACAAATTTAAACACTTTATACAAATCAAATACCCTTCTTCATAGTGCTTCTTTAGCAAAACTTCTTAACCTTTTTTGAAGTATCTTTTTTTTTTCACCAACAATCACCCACAGCTTGTTGAGGAAAGATTATTCATAAGATTGTTTTTGGAACTTTTCCTATGAATATCAACGTAGAGCAAGTAAGAGTTAGGTAAAAGGAGAAAATTTTAGGCAACTAGCTTCTCCCACCCCCCACAATCTCACTCCAAATTAGTCATAAACTTCATCAAAATAGCCCCCTGGATTTCACTGATACTGGGGAAAAAAACTATTTTTGAATCCTTTTTTGGGGGGAGGGGGGCCTCATACTTCTAGCTATGCTATTGTTTGTAGGAGATAGTCCCAAACCAGAACATGTATGTTATTTGGGATATGCCTCAGGCAGCTCCAAGAATCTTTTTTTTATTATCCAATAAGTATAAAAAAATTTTAAACTCTCAACAGGCATTCAAATAAAATACAAACAATAGGGATAACTATTAAGTCCTACACTTGTGTTTTAAGAAATAAACTGCTAATTTATAGGATGAAAGAGGCATGACTAGACTTCAGTTACTGTGAAAAAGATCTGGGAGTTTTAGTTGGCTGCCATCTCATTATGAGTCTATAGTATGATTTGGCAGAGTCATTATTTTTATTGCTTTAAATAGACGAAGTTTTCTTCTAGTAGTTAAGAAGTAAGGATGAGTGGAAAAGAAAAATGAATTCTCAGAAGTTACTGAATTGGGGCTTCATCCCATCATGATGTTGATTTTTTTTTTCATCTTTAGCAATGGTATAAGCTTTTCAATTAGGAAAGCAGAGTTCCTCAGGGTTCAAGCATCTTTTCCTGATTTAATTGAGGTTCCTTTGTGACCACATTGTAGATAGCATACACACAAAACCTGTGACTGCCTTATTCCCCAATTGGGAGAGTTAATATACTTTGGTTGAAATAACAAAGTATTTAGAACTAGGGAGGTAATGATCCCACTGTACTTTGCTCTGTTAGGAACACATCTGGAGTACTACGTGCAATTCTGGGTAACATATTTCTAAACAACAATGAACAAATATGACTATGCCAAGAGGAAGTCCACCAGCATGGTGCAGAAACTAGAAAAAATGTTATATGAGGATTGGTTAAAGAAAATGGGGATGATTCTCCTTGGAGAAGTGGAGATTAAAAGAAAACATAATAATTGTGTTCAGATATTTGGAGAAAAATTTCTTGGTAAAGTAAGATTGGACTTTTTGTTTGGCCCCAGAAGAAAGAAGGATCCATGGGCAGACATTGAAGAGAGGCAGATTTCAATTCTATGTAAGGAAAAGCCTTCCTAATAGTGAGAGCTGTCCAAACCTGTAACGGTCTCTCTTGGGAGGGTTTCTTTTCACTAGAGGTCTTCAAGTAGAAACTGTTTTAACTATTTGTTAGGAATGTTATATAAAGCATCAAATGAAATGTAAGCAGTGTACTTTGAAAATTGTCAAGAAGTAGATTAAAGTCAGCTGCTGCCACAGAGAATTTTTGCTCAGATAGATTAGATCCGTAATGTCAAACTGAAATAGAAATGAAGACTCTGCCATACATAAGGTCCCCTGCAGGCCACATATTGACTTAGAAAATTACATATTAGCATTGTTTATATTCTATTTTATTTATTAAAATTTAATAAATTTAATTATTTAATAATTAAATAATTTAATTTAAAGTAATTTATTATTATTTTATTTATTTATTTTGTTAAATATTTCCCAACATTTTAATAATTTTAATCTGGAAGGGGTTTTTTTTGTTTCTTTGTTTTTAGGCAATTGAGGTTAAATGACTTGCCCAGGGTCACACAGCTAGTAAGTGTCAAGTGTTTGGTCTAAACCAGATTTGAACTCAGGTCCTCCTGACTTCAGGGCCAGTGC